CAGTATGAAATCTGTTAATAGGTTTGTGTACTCAAGACTCAGATCTGCCTTCAGACTGAGTCAAACATGTGCTGTTGTTACCAGAAACAACCACAGAAAAAAACAGAAGCAAACCGTTCTTTGCAGGGAATGTAAAATGGACATTCTTCAGACAACAGTGCACAATGCCAGTTTGTTTTTGTGATACCACTCTCAGAACAGGATGGAGTTCAGAAACAAAAAGATCTGTTTGACTGAGGCCGAGTGTGTTTCAGATCCACCTTCTCTATAGGAAAGGTCCCACTATGGCTGCTCCTCTGCGTCCGTGCCAAACAGCACTTCATGTCACAGGGAGGTCTACTGATTTCAGTGAAGTTACTGCCAGAAGAAAGTATCACTCCACTCAGGGGAATGCACTCAAATCTGACTAATTTTCCTATCAAGATACTAACATCTACTGGAGCTCTTGATCTTTCTGTAATGTAACCCATTAGTGACTTAATTTTTCTTTTCCTCTATTCCACATTTTGTCTTCTATGCAGTAGGCACAAAAATACAAAGTGATGTCAGCCTGGAACAAAGCATTTCCCTAGAAGTATATTTAAAAGAAAACTATTTCCTTCTATCATTCAGGCAACTATCACATACGGCAGCTTTCCTATCAAGCCAAATTTCACAAGAATTCCTGTTAACAATGCATATTTATTCTACTTTCCTGTCTTTTTTGAATGATAAATACTCATTCCTCCTCTTCTAGGCATACTCATTAATCTGTTTGTCAACAAATTAAATGCTATTATCTTGCCCATGCTATTGTTTCCAACTGCCTAAGTGCTCTGGTGCCTGCCCATGCACTCTGAACATGAGGATGCTGAATGCTCATTAATACAGAGAGTTTGTATTCCAAACAAGACATAAAACTGAGCCAAGAAAAGATTTGTGATGTGGCAGCTGTGGGTGCCCACTACTGTGAGCTTTTAGGAGATGCGCTGGAATGGTTTGGAGGGAAAGGTACTTTGTTTAGACAATCCAGAATGTTAAAAGGAGTGGGATTTGCCATTTATCCAGCCCAAGCAGTTTGGACGTCTCTCATGCTCTGCTCTGGTGAGACCCCACCTGCAGTACTGCGTCCAGCTCTGGAGTCCTCAGCACAGGAAAGACACGGACCTGTTGGAGCGGGTCCAGAAGAGGGCCACGAAAATGATCAGGAGGATGGAACACCTCTCCTATGAGGAAATGCTGAGAGAGTTGGGGTTGTTCAGCCTGGAGAAGAGAAGGCTTTGGGGAGACCTTATTGTGGCTTTTCAGTACTTAAAGAAGGCTTATAAGAAAGATGGGGACAAACTTTTTAGCAGGGCCTGTAGCAGTAGGACAAGTGGTAATGGTTTTAAACTAAAAGAAGGTAGATTTAGACCAGATATAAGGAAGAAATTTTTTACAATGAGGGTGGTGAAGCACTGGCACAGGTTGCCCAGAGAGGTGGTGGATGCCCCATCCCTGGAAACATTCAAGCTCAGGTTGGACGGGGCTCTGAGCAACCTGATCTAGTGGAAGATGTCCCTGCTCATTGCAGGGGGGTTAGTCTAGATGACCTTTAAAGGTCCCTTCCAATGCAAACTATTCTATGATTCTATGCTGAGGAGAGACTTAAACAGTGATCTCCCCATTTGGATGAGTGTTTCACCTGCTAGGGTAGGAAAAATAACACTCATGGCTACTACTGAGCCCATAGTGGCTGGAAATGCAGTTTGGAGAGAGCCTGGCCGTGGCTGGGGTCGTGGATCAGAGTCAACCTCAAGCCTCTCTGTGGGTCCCCACATATGCCAAGGAAGAGATCAGGACATGTAACAGAGTGTGAAAGTCAAACAGTGAGGCACTGTGTGAGTTTAAGCACTGCCAGAGTCAGCTCGTATCTGAGGAGGATTCAAGGGTGTTAAGTTTGGACTTCATCACTGAAATTCCACCTATGTCCTGCTTCAGCTTCATGCCTTCCTGGATCTATTCCCCTGTGCCCTCATCACAGCCAGGTCAATTTGATGAACTGCTCAGTGATTCAGCCTGCACTAACTTTAAGAGCTAAGTGCTTTTGCCATCTTCAGGAGACAATCCTGAAATGAGCATTGCTTCACCATCTCAAATTAAGGCTTTGGTGATTGTTGTGGTTTATCCCAGTAGGCAGCTAAACACCACACAGCCATTTGCTCACTCCCCCCTGCCCAGTGGGATGGGGGAGAGAATCGGGGGGAAAAAAAAGTAAAACTCGTGGATTGACATAAAGACAGTTTAATAGGAGAGAAAAGGAAGGGATAATAATAAAAGAGTATAGAAAGCAAGTGATGCACAATGCAATTGCTCACCACCCCCAACCGATGCCCAGCCAGTTCCTGAGCAGCAATCACTGCCCCCTGGCCAACTCCCCCCAGTTTATGTGCTGAGCATGACGTCATATGGTGTGGAATATCCCTTTGGCCAGTTTGGGTCAGCTGTCCTGGCTGTGCCCCCTCCCAGCTTCTCGCTGGTGGGGCACGAGAAGCTGAAAAGTTCTTGACTAGTGTAAGCACTGTTCAGCAACACCTAAAACATCGGTGTGTTCTCAACATTATTCTCATGCTAAATCCAAAACACAGCACTGCACCAGCTACGAGGAAGGAAATTAACTCTATCCCAGCTGAAACCGGGACAGTGATTGAAGTTTTTCTTAAGTACTTCACCGATTCTCTGTTCCACACTAGCTGCTGAGATCCAATGGCAAATCTTTTGTATGGCAGGCTTTTCTTGGTTATCAACTTTAACCTCAGGAAAGACTCAACAGTTCTGGAGCCAGGTACAGTAAAAGAAGACTTGGGATGCAAGTTGAAGTCATGCATTAAATATGATAAAAATTAGATTGTGAAAATAAATGTGTACAACAAACAATTGGAAAGTCAGCTTTCATGTAATATTACCGGTTTGATACTCTTTGCCCTTTGGCTGCGTGTTCCTAGCACAGAAGAGTACTCACTCAGTAACTGTGCCACCACTGCAGCTGCATGCTCTAAGAAAATTCATTGCAGTTCTCAAAAGTTGCTTTGCCTTGCTGTCTTCATTATTAAAAAAAAAGGAAAGGGAAAAAGGCTTTAGGGAAGTAAGGGAAGCTCAGTTTTCCCAGGAACATCAAAACTAACACTTCTTCAATATCCTTGTACATTTTATTCTGTACCTGCCTTGGCTGGTTGGCTATTTTACACCATAATTATTTTCACTATGGAAAAGAAGTGCTTCTAGCTGTGTGCCACATGTTCTGTTTTTCTGAATGTTCCTGGCATTGTCTCCTGGCCTATCATTATTATTAACTTCATGTTCCATTAATTTTACTCATCTTCCTACTAGCCAAGAAACCTTCAGCACCCACGGAAGAATTAGAAGATGCCAGCCTGCCAGCATCTGAAGACAGTCCACAAGCCTTACTTGTATCCGAATCCACAGATTCCCCCCAGAAACAGACAGAAAGAAACCCAGCACAGCTTCCCAGCCCTCCGTTGCTCCCAGCTCCACCACCTAAGGCAATCTCCAAAATCACAAAGAGCATAACAGGTCAGTCATTACTGGTCAGCAGAGACTTTCCCATCCCTTATGTGTTGTTGGCCTACACAGCACAGTATACAATTATTTTCTTACACCCTTTTTTAAGCCTATTGCCGCAAACTGCTGCAAATCAGGCTGGTTATATTGAATGAACAGAATGCTAATGATTTCCATTAACTGAGTGGTCCAGTTGCCTGATAACAATGCACTGATCTTTGTACTTCACATATTTACCTGAATCTCTCAGGGGATTATTTGTTGCGAGTCTATTGCACTGAACACATGTAAAACAAATCAAACCAACTGCAAACAACTGCTGAATCAGATGCTCATATCAGTATGCCATAAAACACAAGGAAGATTTAAATGTTTTCATTACCTAGCTTCCTGCTGGATAACAGTACAACAGCCAAAATCAAGTTCAAGTCAATAGGTTCCGTAGAGGTTTCTGTCTGAAGAGTTTGCTCTCTAGGGTAGGTCTAAACTAGAGCTATGAAATCTGGCCTAGTTACACAGAACACACACATAAGTGATACACCTGGCTCCCACAAAGCAATCCTCCGTGCCAGTCTTCATTGAATGTTTCAAGAGCAATTCCTCTGGGCCTGATTTTCTAATGTATTGCCAATGTTGTTACATTTTCCAACATTCTGGCACTGCAGGAAGGGTGTTAAAGTGAATATGATTTTAGTTTGTTCCAATTTTAGGGCCCCTACATATGGTAAAAGCAGTTAAAAGGGCCTTATTGCAAATTAGAATCAAGTCCTGACATCTAAATGTCAGACCTGTTGGATAGTTAGACTTTTAAATGACAGCCATTATCTCAGCCCTGATTTGCATCCACACTCATCTACTGGCACAATGAATAGGGTTTTCAAAGTCACCAGGAAACAAAATATCAGAGGGGCATTGTGATCTGACCAGTGGGGTTCATAGAAAATATTGAGGTTTTCAGTCTTTTTGAGGAAAATTACAAGCATTTGTTTCCCATGGAAAATATCCATATTTTGTCCATGCTTAAAAGCTGTAAGAGTTTAAGTGGAAGCTGGATTCAAAATGGTATCATAATGCTCCTTGGGAGCTGCTGTTCAGATTGCTTCAACGTTCTGTGCTATGGGTCAGGCTCTAGCCTGCCCCTTCCACCTTGCAACATGAACAGGCACAACCAGGACACCCCTTTGACTTTGCTCAACTGACGAGGAGGCCATGCTCTGCATGAGATGTAGGCTATTTGGAAAACCTGACCCATAGAGGGTAACAAGATTACAGCTCCACCACTTCACAGCATTTTGAGTCTAGATATTTTGCTGCTTAACCAAAGTATTTCCTGTAACGTCTAAGATATTCTGAGTTTTGGTATTTCATTCTCATCTAAATTTTCCACAAAGAACAACTCTTAGTTTTCTCAGTGACTCCAATAACTATAGACCCTTTTTCAATAGTGATTATACATTTGTTTATTTTTGTGTGAATGTGGAGGCAGTGGCAAGTTAAGACTAAACAAATACTGTCAATGAGTGAAAGGGAATACAAATGTATGGGGAGAGAGAAAGAGCGATTATGAAAGAAAAGGGAAATGAAGAGGCTGAAAAGCTCTTTTGTGTTTAGTTTTTGCCCCCTTAACAATGTTAGAGATGCTGTTAGCAGAGGAGTGAGGAACAAGCCAAGCACCAATTAATCACAGAGAGAGGGGGAACAGGGCAAGGTGCCAAGACATCACTTTGCAAGATTATTCACTGAACAGCTGTCATTAGGACAAATAAGGTGTGATCTAAGGAAACTCTCAACTCTCAATATTGGCCCAAGCTGCAATGAGGACAAAATTGGCCTTTGACCTGTTCCAGGAACAAGCAGGTATAAAGAGAAAACAAATCTCCTCCTTTCCTGCTTTAGGGCTGAGCTGAACCCCGGGTTCTTGCTCTGAGAAAACACGGACACCCTCTCTCACTGTGCAGTGGTATAAAGTGACTTAAGAGGTGGGTTTTTTTCATCCCCTCAGGCAATGATCGATCATAAATGTCCTCTGTGCATCTCTACGGTAGCACATAATCAAAATCCCCTTGAGTGCTGAAAAAACATCTTTGCTTAGCACAGGTTGGCTGTCTCCTGGCCGCAGCAACCAGCCTGATCAGTGCAGGAGGAGCTCCGGGGTGGGAAGGTGTCTCATTGCCAAGACATTGCACGTTGGGCACTAGACACTTGAAGAAATGCCCTTGTGCTTCAGACATTTCAGATTTTGAATAGGGTAACTTTTGGACTAGCTTGACCCCTGTCTCCTGGATGCACAGAGACATGAATGAAGCTCTGGCTATTGGTTAGGGTTCTGGGTTGGAGGGAGAGAAGTGTGCAAAAATGCCTTCCAAAAATGAAAAAAAAGTCAGACCTTTCTTAGAATAAGAGAGAAGTTTTAATTGTGGATGCAACTCTCCTCATTGAAAAATGCTCTTCTCCTCACCCCACAAATGTGAAAAAGAGACCAGGTTTAGCGTTGTTGCTCAAATTTTCAATGTCTGATTTTGGTTATCGCTACAGGAGTTTTTCTTCCTACTTGTGCTTTTGCTGTTGTCCTCAGTAATTCTGCCCTCCAACCTCCAGATGCCCAGCTCTGTTCGCAGCGCTACACTTACAGAGCTGTAACAGATTTCCAGCAGTGAACTTAAGAAAAGGCATGTAGCTGGTAACCATCATGCAGGGTGCTGGGTCTGAGAGGAAATATTTAATAGCTGAAGTTAATATTCAAACCTACTTTTCTCCTCTCCAGTTTTCTAGTAAGTTACGCTGCTAATAGGAACCAAGTCCTTTTTACGTGGTTATTTCAGGATAATCCTGGCCTGAGCAGAAGTTTTCCTCTGCTATGAACTGCAGGATTTATCTCAAAAGTAAGTGGAAAAAGTAAAAATGATCCGTGAAAACAAGTTTGTACAAAAGCTGTACAAGGTCTGTCAGTTTAAATTCCTGTTTAAAACACTAGGTGGCAACAAGAGAAAAGAAATGCTCTTTTGTATGAAGCACTCACATTGCCTTTTCACACCCAGACTGAGCTATTGGTGTAAACAACGCCATACGCCAGAGGCTTGGGACAGAGATATAGGGGAAAGGGGAAGAGAACTGCAGAACAGAAAAACTAATCAGCATCTTTTTCAGGCCAGATGTTCAGTTATCTTAAGAATGTGAAACTACCAAATTTACAACCAGGGAAACGTCTGCTGTGTTTTGGACTCAGATGCTAGAGAAATGTATATATCAAAGTCTAATTTCCAACAAAATGCTTACATTGCATAAAAAACCCCTGAATCTGGGGGTAAAAAAAGATTAGATTGCCCCACCCTTCTTTTTTCTTCTTAGTGCTCAATACCACATCTTTCATTTGGATTTCATTTGGCAAGTTTTGTTATGCGAACATTATCCTCATATTATAACAATTTTGGCATTTCCTCAACTGGCATATGAAAGACAGAGGAGGTCTAAGCTGTGCAGCAATTACAGAGGAGCAGATAATAGACACTGGTACATTTTGTCCTGACTGGGAACCACAGTGCATAAATCTTAATACAGTCTGCCAGAGTCCAGCAGAGAAAGTGCTAGATTGTGAAGCCACCGCAGTACGAGCCATTGGTGGATAGGAAGAACAGTGCTGGCAATCACGAATGCATTGGTGGGCTGGGAAATAGGAGGATCTGATACTGCGGGAAAGAGGGGAACTGGGGGAGGCATCTATTTTGCTAGATCAAAGATCTGGGTCTGTGTAGTAGGAGCCTTCTGAATTCAGATAGTTACTCAGCTTAACCAGTTACCCCCTAGCAAGAACAAAATATCACCGTTTTCTTCCGTTCAACACAACAAATTAATTTCAGGGCAGACTCTGTGCAAAAAAATGAGAAGCGTTGCACAACCTCTTACCCTCTTGTGTTTTGACAACAGGAAGTGAAATAGATGACCCAGCCATGAAATCTCCTCCGTCCACCATCCTGAAGAATTATGTCGTCATTGGTTCCTCCCAAATCTCAGGACAAGCTGCTCTCTTCCATCCCTCTGGCCAGAAAAGTTCAGATCCCCATGTCAGAGGACAGGTAACACCACCAACCGGTTCCCCTCACCTGGCTGCCGTCCACCTGCCTTTACCTCCCAGCAGAGTAATTGAAGAACTCCACAGGGCTCTGGCCACCAAACACCGTCAGGACAGGTACCTACAGCCTCTTGGCTATATGGGTGCATGAGGAGAGTCATTCCACTAAATTATTTTTCTTGGTAAATGTTCCTACCCTGTTATTAGCATTTTATTTAGTCCTACAGCTTGGGTTTGCCTTCCTCTTGATGTCACTTCTTTGAACACCCATCCCTGGTTAAAGTGCTTAATTTGGCAGTTACTTCAAAGTATGTTCTTCCTTTATTAGGAGGCTATACTGTGACATGGAAGTAGGTTTTCAAACAGGTAGAATCATTTGATAATCCCTGACCTATTGCAAAAGAAAATCTCGCCACAAGTCACCAAGTTAGAGCAGCTAAGGCATGTCCTGCTCTAAATATCAGTACTCTACATAAGAGAAATGCTACCACTTCAGTATATGTCTCTTGGCTTATACATGAGCATATACGGTATCCATTCTTAATACAAATGCTTGTGTGGGAGTACATTGGGTACTTTGTCTGGTTTTCATTATAAGCCCTCCTGTGTATTAGAGGAGGACAGAGATAACCTTTTCCATCATAGAGCTTTGGAGTTAAGTTGGTAACATTTCTCAATTCCGTAACAACTATTGTCATGGGGAATAGATTCATACAATATTACTTCCAGGCCCTGTTAAACCTTTGTCATGATCATAAAATATCAGAATGGTAATATTTCATGCAATGTATGTTTTACATTAGAAGGACGTGCTGTGTGGTTTTTTTTAATCAGTACAGTATTGCATGTGGCTATACATCAAAGAAATACACTAGTCACCACCCTTCCGTACCTTATTTTTATGACAGAGATAGGAAAGTAGATCTGCGTTAGCCATTCTCAACACAGTCTTGAGAATGCCATCCCATGTTGTCCCATGTTGAACAATCTGCCCTGGCCTTTACGAGCTACAAGACATTCTGCTCATTCTCATATAACGTAAGTGCCTACTGTGGCAATAAAACAGTCTTTTGTAAAAACTGGGCTGTGCACCTTCCACCCACAGCTTCCATGGAAGAGAAAGCAAAGGCTCTCCAAAAAAAAGAGTGGATGTCCGTCCATCCAGAACATCTAGCATTGAGCGCAACAAAGAAAAGGAGAACTCACTGAGTTACAGCAGTGATTCAGAAAATAAGCGGAACTCGGTTAAAGAGTCGGATGAGAACAAAGAAAACATGATTATGAACTCAGAGCTCAAGGAAGACTCTGTTTTTTATCAGGATGAGGAAGTTTTGAATGACTCCATTATTTCTGGTAAGGAAAGTCACTTATTATATTATAAAGATATACTATTGTAGCCTAATGGAATGCTCTAAACAGGGCAGCACGCAACAGAAAATATTGAGCAATATAAATTCCTCTGTTGTCACATCAACTGTTTCAAGGAATGCTGGTGAAAAGCTAAAGCTAAATTTAAGTCATAGTGGTTGTGATCATGGTTGTCTTGGTAGGTACTGCATACTAAGATGACGTTTAGAGTTATGCTGATAAGTCAATGTATCAGTGTGCTTTACCCTTTCAGTTACTTATGTACCCTTTGTACTACTACATATGAATGGCAGCACTTGCAGGCACTTCTCACTGTCAGTAGGCAAAGCTTTCTGCATACCCGGTGCCAATGCTGTGGATGTTTTGGAAGCATCCCATCTTAGGACTATTATTCCAGTGCAGTGATGGTACAGTGAAAAGTGGAAGAGACTAATGAACCTAGGAAGGACAAACATCCAGGGAAAATGTTTTAAAGAAGAAAGTTGCTCTCCATTTGGTCCATTTTACCCTTTCTTGAGACATATGGGGAATGCGTTGTATAATCCTGAGCAATTATTTAAGTGGGCTTTGGCAAAAAAAATCAGCTCTCATTAGAAAATTTATTCTTCATTCAAGATTTTAATGTTTTCCATGTTAGCAAGACAAAGATTCAGTCTGAAATGAATCCTTCAATCTCTTCATCAATGCATTAAAAGAAGGAAGGCAGAGGAAAATTCATCAAAAATAATTGTTATAACAGATCAAGGATCAATTTTAAAAGGTGCCTATTAGAAAGTATGAGCCAGCAGACAGGACACATGAGTTCTGCTCCAGTGTCTTCAGACACTAGTAACAGAACAGACCACTGAGATAAGGCAAAAGAAAAGAGAATCCCTTGCATAACTGCTGTGCATTTAAGGATAACTTAAAAAATAAAAATCACCTTTTAAGGTCTATTTTTTCTGACTATGTGTTGTTCCTGATTATAAAAGTGGTCTCCTTTGGTATAAATTCTAAGAGCTAGAGGCAGCCAGGCAAAAAATATGTTATCCCCTACTAGTAAAAACAAATCTGGATATTTTACTGTTGAAGATGAATTCTATATATTTAACAAATAATTATTCACTGTCTGTGAAGACAGAAATTATGATGATAGAAGGGCACTGGTTATTGTACAAATTCCAGTGATATCTAGAAGCAGCTCTTGGCTTTCCACAATAAGTGCTAGAGTTCCGAAAAATTTCTGCTTACTACAGTTGAACAACAGTGTTGTTGTATTGGTGATGACTTAAGAATGGTTTAAATGCAGCAAGTTTATAGGGCAATATTAGACCAACTGAGATGGTGAGAAAACCAGACCTCTTTCAAAGATATTTTGGCTTTATTGTAGCTGCAATAATACTGCTGCTCAGCATAGAAGATATTGAAAACTGCCATTTGAAATACTGGCTACACAACATGAAATAAAAAGAAATGAGACTGAACAGAAAACTTTTCCCCCTTAACTATATAATTTGATTTAAGAAAATATTACGTATACATATAAATCTTACTTCATATAATGGCTTATGTATTGGGTATGATTGGTCATGTATTATGACTGGGTAGGGCATGCCTGCTAGAAATTTAGAAGAATAATCTCTGATAGTAGAAAAATTATTAAATACCTTTTTGAATAATATACGAGTACTACAAATATGTAAAAGCTGGATGGAAAAGCTTATAGGACTAATTGGTGAATATAACGAGGTGGGGCTGATACACTCTTGAATGTTTTAGTGACTAAGATTAATGACCCAAATTTAAAATGTCAAGGGCCAGAACCACATACAGACTTGCTTCCCCAGTTCTCGTGATGGTGTGCTAGTAATAGAAGTGCCTATGTAGATATGTAGACAGCCAGTTAGATGCCTTATCTGAAAGGCTGAAAACTCAAAGGTTTGTTATGAAGTTAGGTAGTGCGGTGATTACATACAGATTAGTATTTACCTGCAGATGTACACCGAGGGCAAAGAGAGCAAACAAAGATCATTTCTCATTTGATAAAGAGGGCCCAGATATGAATACAACCCCTTTTTCCGTGCAAAAAACTTCCCAACTTCAACAAAAATAATTTTTAGGAAGAATTTTCTCTCATTTCTTGGTAGCTACACAGCCTTCTTCCTCATAATTAATTTATCTCACTCTTTGGCATTAGAACCTTTTCACACCTAAACTTCAGTGTCATGGTTTAACCTCAGCCAGCAACTGAGCACCACCCAGCCGCTCGCTCACTCCCTGTGGGATGGGGGAGAGAATCAGAAGAGTAAAAGCGAGAAAACTTGTTGGTTGAGATAAAAACAGTTTAATAATTGAAATATAATAATAATATACAAAGCAAGTGATGCACAATGCAATCGCTCACCACCCGCCAACCGATGCCCAGCCAGTCCCTGAGCAGCAGCCCCCCCGGCCAACTTTCCCTCGGTTTCTGTACTGAGCATGACGTCCCATGGTATGGAATGTCCCTTTGGCCAGTTTGGGTCAGCTGTCCTGGCTGTGCCCCCTCCCAGCTTCTTGTGCACCTCCAGCCTTCTCAGTTGGTAGAGCATGGGAAGCTGAAAAGGCCTTGACTAGTGTAAGCACTGCTCAGCAACAACTCAAACATCGGTGTGTTATCAACATTATTCTCATCCTAAATCCAAAACACAGCACTGACCAGCTATGAGGAAGGAAATTAACTCTATCCCAGCCGAAACCAGGACATTCAGTTTCTGCACCAAGAAGCCCGTTCCATACACCCCTAAAACTTAAGTCGTCATAAGACTTGAGCTTTATGCATAAGATCATTTTATTTAAAATGGCTGAAGATCATTGTGGACTGCCTTGTCCTTGCAGGTTGTTATTGTGCATTTACAAAAGACCTAACTTCTTGTACAAAACACTTTGCTCTGCCAGTATTTAAGTTCAGGCACATTTTAGGGGCACAACAAAAACCCAGGCCACACGATGTTTCAGCTGTTTGATGTCTAAGGAGGCTGCCATGGATGGGTACCGGGAAAGCTGGGCAACACAGCAGCTTAAACCACAGAAGTCCTGGTGTGGAGTGGTATAACCTCAGCCCCCGAGGAGACAACAGCTTTGGGGATGTGACCGCTGCCCATTTACTCAGTGCAAGCTGGGACATAAGCAAGGCATTTCTGGTCTTGACACTGGGTGGCACTGCTTGTGCCAGCATTCATTCAAATGCATCTGTTTGCATTTCAGAGGGGAATGAGAGACGCGGTAGTCACAGGGATAGCGCGAGAATAATTCCCCAAAAAGCTCCAGATTCTTTCTACTGTAAAAAATCTGGGCTGGTTTGCAAGTCAGGAGGTAAAACTATCCATTAATCCAAAGTTGCTTTACAATTAGTGTACTGCCTTAGTACGTTACCAACTTTGCCATTGCCACTGCGATGCAGAACAGTGCATCAGTGCAACAGCCCCATGGTTACAGGGCGATTGGTACAGGACACAGATAACTCTGGAAAAAGTGAGGAATTGTACCTTGGCTTTCTATTAGCACCCTACTCAATAAATCATTCTTTGAAACCTCTAAAAACACAAGGCAAGACAGTAGTCTTGTGCACAAGCTTAAAAAAATAACATAACTAGCATGTAGCCCACAACTGATAACTAGTGCAAGCAAGGTCTTTCCATCAGCATGCAGTATTAGGATTTGCCTTTTGCTTGATAGAAAAACAGTAAACATAAAGGAAATTAAATGTCATGATTCAACTGAACTAAAACAGGAACTTTTGTCAGGAATCTGCAGACCAAGCATGAAAAGGGTGTGAATTTTCAAAGCATTTATTGTTGACCTAGCTGAGCTGCCATAAATCATGAAACAAGCCACAGCCAGGATCCTGCCTGAGATAGCTTGGTCATGGGGCAGACCAGCATTGACATGCCTTATTGACCGGGAAAAATAACCCTTAGGAAGAAAATACTTAAATAAGGATATTTGCAGGTTCACTTTCTGCTGAGATAGTGATCAGGAAGGAATTTGCCTCAGGATGAGGCAAATGGATGTGGGGAAAACTAGTTTGGGGCTTTATTTCCTCTTTGTTCTCTAGTTTTGTTGTATTTATTTGTTTACTAATTCTGAAACATCAGGCATGGGTTTCTGCAGCAGGTGGAATAACAGAACTGGCCATCAGTGGGCCAGTGAAGATGAATTACACAGTGTTTCCCGGCATGTCTTCCTGAAGGGGGTAACATCATCTCCCTCTTTTTACCTTGTCGGGCTGGTATTATTTTTCAGGAATGAACCCAATTGGTCAGGCATGGGGAATGGCTCCTTAGACTAGCAGATCAGCTTAATCCAGATCTCTTGCATTTTTATTTGGTGAATAACCTAAAGATTAATCAGTGCTCAGTGCATATGGACCATGGGAGTGGCTATAGCATAAGCCTTTTAGAAATCCAGACATCTGGATGAAGTGAGCACAGCTTATCCTGAGTGGGTTATATGCTCTCCACTCCTCTAATACAACAGCAGGATTTGGGTTAAAGTTGAGATTTTTCAGATATGATTTGTGTTTTTAATTTCACAAAGTAGTAAACTCTAAGTGTGCAGCAGAGCAGCCTGGGAGCAGTCAAGGCCCTGAAGAGCAGCTTCATTTTACTTTGTTTCAAGCAAAATATTGCATTGTTCCATCTCACATTGAAATACAAGCCTCTAGGGCATACACTGAGCTAGCTTAAGCCAATGTCTCCACATCAGCTTCAAAACCTGACTTCTTGCAAAAAGGTCCAGTCTTTTAACTGCAGAGCATCAGTTTCAGCTGGCCTTCAATGACATGAGAGGCAGCAGAAAATGAGCCCTGACCTCATCTGAGCAAATAATCACTGTGATTCCAGCTCTTGTTCTCCCACAATTCAAAGATCAGGTATAGTATGGTATGGCAAGTAGTTTTATAACATCCTGAAGGGAGTAGGGATAGTCCTGCATGCGCGTACCTTAGCTGTCACCAGTGAATCGGAGAATAACTGTTTAGGGTGCAACTCAAAAAAAAAAAGGTTTACTACACATGTAGAGCTCCCTTGTTTCCTTCTAAACAGTTCTGGACAGAGACGTGTGCATGTGCTGTATAGTATATATACCCAGGATGCACTGAACTGCCTGCAAATGCACTATGCAGATGGCCAGCACATGGGCGGTACGTCTATCGTGTGCTGGAGACATTGGGCTTAATGTGCATGTGCAGTCTCTCCACGGCAATCTCCTGACACGACCAAATTCCTCTTACCGCCTGCTTAAAATTTCCAGGTGAAAATGAGAACATGTTCAGGGATACCCAGGAGTTTGCTAGCCCCAAATGTGCTTCAGATTGTTTCCAGAAGGAATTCTGTTGGTTCCTGTGCTGTACAGATCGAGCACTGCAAACGCCCACTCTGCACCCACTCCCAATTTGGTGGAGGCTTGAAAAACCTTGACAGAGTCCCAAGTCTGCGGCTTCGTGAGCCAAATGTTTCTGATGGAGTCATATATTCGCTTAGCAGAAGGCTCTGTGTGGCATCAGCCAAATCGTTTAACTTCTTAACCCATCTGTTAAATGTATACCTACTACTTCACAGAGGGCTGTGTGATTTAATTTAATTAATGTTTGCAACAGACTTTGAAAGCATTAGAAGGAAGGTGCTAAACAAGGGCACAGCTTTTAGACTCTAAGCTGGGTTTTGAGCTGATTATGGTTTCTCAAAAGTTTAATTTTACACCACTGCAACTATCAGGAGACTTGTCCCCGCTCACACAGGGAGACCATAACTACTCTCTGCCCCAGTCTTCCCAATATGTATGTGTGGATGTGGTATAGGCTCCTCCCCTCTGCATAAAGAAATTCGAGATCAGCAGTGATAATAATAATAATGTAGGTCCACAGATCCCTAGCAAATAAAACCCCAGTATTTGGGAATGAGAATCTATTTAGGATTTAGAATCTTGCCAACCTCCAGAGCATCCTTTAAAAAATAGACTTTAATCCTATCTCAAATGCCAAACAAAAATACCAATTAAATGTCATTTTCTTTAAAAATGAGATGACCTTTTCTAGAAAAGGTGAAGCATTAAATTAAAAAAACCTTTAAAGTAAAAGGGAACCAAAACAAAATAACCTCCTATGACACACCACGCTCCCAAGATGAAGCAAATACAAAGATTTAACTGTAGTTCCTGCGTATCCTCACAATACTCTCAACCCCACCTGACTGGTGCTACTCTGCAATGATAATTCTCAGACTCCACTGAAGCCCTGGGCCAGACACAGGAAGAGCCAGTACAGCACAGTAGAGGCGTGCAGGGATCTGGTGTAAATTTACTTGCTTACAACCTACCTGTGACATGATTGCTGGAAGACTGCAGTCCTACCAGTATGACTCGGCAGCTCACTGGTTTTAATAGCACTTCCCTCTTCTTTCCCCCCCCATCATAAGCAAGCTACCCCTCATCAAATATGGACATCACCTCAGACTTTCAGTCTGCATTTGAAAATAAAGATGGCTTTCTACTTTACAGCCATTTTATTGCGTACCTTTCCAAACACATGGCAAAATGATTTTATAAGCTCTGGAGTCCAATTTTCATTTGTTTAGCCTGCTGAAGTCTAAAGAGTTACACCAGAGATACTGAAAAACCTAAGCTTAAACACAATTCCCTTTAGTGAGAGTGAAAGGATGTTTCTAATGTCATCCGAGGGGCAGCATCAAGGACTCAACATCCAGTACACTGAAGAGAAGTAGACTCCTACTCAAAACAGTTGCTGCATGTTCTCCTATGAACAGTTCTTTTGTAATGGCAATGTTTTAGGCTATCTGGTTTGATGGAAAACATGTGTTATCATATTTTTACAATAAGCACAACAGGTTATGCAATCCCAGCAAGTATTTGTGTCTCTTATTGCCTGAATGCCCAATTAAGTTGCCAGCATTCTACAAATCATCATAAAACCTGGCCTTTTCTTTCATTCCTTGGAATATTTGCCCCTGCTCTCTTCAGAGGGAAAGGCCTAATGTCAACAGTATAGTACTGATTGCTAAATGAAATTCTGTTATGACACACTGTCACACTGGACAGGATGTAGACATACATAATGGCTTACACTTAGTGTTAGTTACACACTGTGTCTGATCACAATTCTGATTTTCTAATTTCTAATGACAGAAAACCAGAATGACATCTAATATATATCTATTTATATATATGTGTGTGTGCATATATACACACACACCAAGCAACAACTTCGATTGCTTCAGTTACCATTATCTATTTCTGGTTATACCTGGTGACCCAGAGCGAAAGGTGTACGTGTGCCAGCCGCTTGGGCCACTGAGCAGTCCTTCTGCAAAGGAACCACTAAATGGTTCAGGAAATAGGGATTGCTCTGGGCTATCGGGATGCTCAGAGGACTGAGGCAAGACGCGCAGCCTTTGACTTCTAAACTAGTGACGTGAATCATGTCTCAGCTGCAAATAATTTTCACCTGAGAGCACTGCTTGCTTATAATGGATAACAAAGATAACGGAGGAATATGATCCTTCTGCATTTGTAAGCAGTTTTGTGTCTGAGCCCTGCACAACTGTAGTGCTACTTAATGTTATTAATGTGTATAACTGCTCATTGCACACTAACATACAGATCACTGTCACTCTGTAGGTTTCCTGCTCTTCGTATGTTCATGTTTCATCTCCAGGAGCTGTCTTTCTAATAACTTTTTTCTCAATGCATGTCCCAGGTACTTTGCCAAGAAAATGCAAGAAAGAACTGCTGGCAGTAAAACTACGAAACAGACCAAGTAAGCAGGAGCTGGAAGACAGGAATATTTTCCCAAGGAGGACAGATGAGGAAAGACAGGAAATCCGGCAGCAAATTGAAATGAAACTCTCAAAGTAAGTCTAAGAACAGGGAGGAACCTCCCTTTACAATGGAGTGTCCTCTGAGTACTGTCAGATGAGATGCTGTCACCCACCCCCAAATCCATTTCCTGCAGTGAATCATACACAAACTAATATAGCACATTATCAGCTGTCAATCAGTCACATGAAAAAAATCTTAACTCCCTCTTCAGTCAGGGTTCCCTTGATTTCAATAGAAAACAAGACAGAAGTCAATGTGGGAGACAAAATTCTGCCAAATCTACCTGCAGCTCCACTGACGTAATCCAGATTTTGAGGTCCTCCAAGAAGGCTAGTGCTTTAACAAAAATAATAATATAATTGTTTATTAACCTGATTTTGCTTTGTCAGTGCTAGTTGAATTTGAGGATAAAGGCAAGGGTTATAGCTGCATATTTACTTGAACAAGGGAAAGCTGCTGTATGCATTGGTGGCTATATTTCTGCTTTAAGGCAGAAGCAACTTCAGCAGCATTGCCCTTACATGGGTAAGGTGTTTGTGTAAGTCGAGCTGCAGGGACAGCAGGGATGGTCTGGTTTTGATCAGTAACCAGGGCAACAGGGTAGAGCTATGAAAGAAATAGCATTACTGTGGCATGTAGCCTAAAGCAAAGATTTAAGGTAACTATGAGGCTCAGACTGCACCATTTGGTTTTTGTGTGTGTTTTTTTTAAGAGCTACATTTGGATAGCTGCAAACATGAATATTTTAGATGAGACAAAGTGGATTGTTAAATAATCTGTGCTGCGCCTGCCCACATTGGGACGGTGAGCACTGCTCGCCGCCAAAATGCTTGAAGTCAAATTGAGAAACATGAACAGAAGTTCATTTTCAAGGCTTATTAAATATTAAATATCTCAAGCCTCTCCTGAAAGAAACATTTATTGATATTTAAGCTAGCTCATTCGGGAGTGTACATTTGATTAAACTTTACCTTAGGGGACAGCAAATCAGAAGCACACATATGGATCAGAGCACGAGTCCTAATGGACCAGCGTTTACGGAGGAAAACGTCACTGCCATCACCACACTTGCCCTCAGCTAAGAAACAAGCTTTTGAATGAACACAGATGAGATTTTGTGTGCACTTCATGATGCCCCTGCAATGCTGGAGATGGAATAATCACCTTCCTCCAGTCTCAGTGACTACTATTTATTCTTTGTAGCATGGCAGCACTTTATACCCAAAGCAGAACAGTGCATTGTGCCAGTGACTGCACAAGACAGAGCAGATGACAGTCCCTGTCACAAAAAACATGTACAGCCCTGTTGTGGTTTAACCCCAGTCGGCACTCAAGCACCACACAGCCACTTGCTTACCCTCCCCCCGCCGATGGGATGGGGGAGAGAAACAGAAGAGCAAAAGTAAGAAAACTCTTGGGTTGAGATAAGAACAGTTTAATAATTGAAATATAATAATAATAAAAATAATTTAAAAAATAATGTAATGAAAAGGAAAACAACAAAAAAAAAAAGAGAGAGAGAGGAACAAAACCCAGGAAAAACAAGTGATGCAACTGCTCACCACTCACTGACCAATGCCCAGCCAGTCCCCGAGCAGCGATTGCTGCCCCCCGGCCAGCTCCCCCCAGTTTCTATACCGAGCATGACGTCCCATGGTATGGAATGTCCCTTTGGCCAGTTTGGGGCAGCTGTCCTGGCTGTGCCCCCTCCCAGCTTCTTGTGCACCTCCCCTCCCAGCTTCTTGTGCACCCCCAGCCTTCTCAGTCGGCAGAGCATGAGAAGCTGAAAAGCCCTTGACTAGTGTAAGCACTGCTCAGCAACAACTAAAACGTCGGTGTGTTATCAACATTATTCTCATCCTAAATCCAAAACACAGCGCTGCACCAGCTATGAGGAAGGAAATTAACTCTATCCCTGCCGAAACCAGGACAATCCCATACAAGTAGAAAATATCACATGACAATTTACATTAAGTTCCAAGAGTTATAGGCAGAGCAAGTCATAGATGTGCCACATTAACACCCATCATCTTAGGAAGGAAAGTGTCATGGGATTTGACCATGGCCTTGATCATCTTGACCTTGCAAGCCTTATGTATTTATTTCAGGGAAATATTTCAAGCTGCACTCCGATATTGTTAATTCCAGTATTTTGGCCAGTCAATTGCTCGTGAAATATCTTCATAGGTCAGGAGCCTAATTTTATGGCTCTAAGATACACAAAAAATGGTTTCCACGCCACTCCATCCCTAAAACCAAGTTGGACCATCACAGAGTATTCACTGAGTGAGATGATTATCTCATATCCAGCCACACCTCATACTGCTGAAATGCCGAGGTCACATCTCTTTTCAATACAGCCTGACTTCTCTTAGTGTCAAAGGTCTAATGGAATTGCATCTTCAGGTGGTATAACTACAGGCTTTATCCCTTTTCTTTTCATTTACCATTTAGCTTGCTTAATAATGAGCCTAAAGAATTATTTTAAAGGAGGCATACCTAAAGTCAAGTGTCAGTACAAGGACTTAAAAAGGAAACTGCTCTACTGGTGAAGAAAAGGGATGGTCATTACTAGAAGCTAGGAAATGTACCGTCTATAGGTAAATGCAGAGAAGGAAGCCATACTGTCTGCTGTGGTCTTATTGGGCAATCTGTGGTGCAGGCTATTAGTATCATTGGTAATGTCTAAAGGATGGCTAAAAGCCATCTTTGTTCCAAGTGCTGGAAGACAGGCTTTCATTCAGTTCCTTCCTCCTGGAACATGGAAGATTCCGCGCATCTCGGGGAACAGACGGTGCAGAGATTGCTGGAATAGCCAGGAATGGCAAAACAGATTGGAAGTAATCTCCCACACAACTTCCAGCACATATGTGCACTGGCAGAGCTCAGCTCAGCTCTTAACTCATCCACCAGAATAGAACATGACCTTGCAAACAAGCTCAGGTGGTGGATGCATGCAGGAAAGTATTTACACCAGGAAAAGCAAGTACGTGTGTCCCCCCCAAAAAAAAAATTAAAAATGGGTATTGGTAAAGGCCAAAGAGTCAAAGCCCTAGAGATATCCCTCTGGAGTTTCTGACTAGGACTGACTAGGTCTCATGCCACAAAACCCAGACCACCCCAGAGTCCTCACTCAGAACACAACCTGGCAGTAGCGTGGAAATGTAACCACACTGGGCAGAGTGAAAATCTTGTATGAAATTTTGAGGTCTTTAAATCCATTCATTTTACTGGTACTTGTGCAGCATAGTCTCTTCGTGACGACTTGGAAGTTTATAGCTAAGGAACGTACTGCTAAGCGTCCAGGTGTGAAGCACTGACCGGGAAATGGGATCCAATACAAATTTCTGTTCTCTGTATGATTTTGCCACTACCTATGCAGATAAGAGCACATTGCTGCTGCTGCTGCTGCACTAGTAACACTTTGATAACAGCAATGGGACTTACCAGCTCAGTTATGAATCCACAGGTACCATCAGGCTATAGACCTGTACTTCAGCACAAAAGAATAACGTATGGGCAGATTAGGGAGTAGTTATTTGATGGCTGTCTGCATAAGAATGGCAAGTAAACAGGCAGTTGTTTTCAAGATCAATATTTTTCAGCACATATTCCTATGTGCTGGAATCAATCAAAAATATTCCTACAATATTTTTTATTGTAGGAATTTGAAAGTCTATAGCTGTCTAGCAAATTGCCTCAGTCCCACAGCTAACACCGCCTAGCTCTGTACTCTGGAGGGAAAGCTGTGCTGATGAATGTAATGCGCAAAAGATACTGAATAATAATGTCTATGTAACTTCAAAAACGGGGAGACAAAAGAATAATATTTTCTCAATACCGCTGTATTTTTTAAACGGTTCTGGCTGTAATACATTTCAACAGTAGTTGTGAACCTGCTGAGAAAACCAACTCTCTGCTATCGTGCTGATGAGTGTTTACACAGTCAAAGCTAAAAATCCCTATTTTTCTTCACTTTTCCATTCATTCCATCTCAAAAGAGAGATTGAGGAATTCTGTTATATCTTTTGGGCCAGATTCTACTTTTACAGCAGTGCAAGTCCACTGACTTCAGATTTATTATTGGCTGACAGCAGCGTGAGTACAGATTCAAGTATTCATTTATGTGCATTGCTGCTTCTGACAAGTGTATTTCCCATATTTCGTGCTCCCAGCCAATTTAGTCTACCACTTGTTGCCGTGGAAACATGCACGTCTCCCTCCTCCTCCACCCAAAAGAGCAGTATTCCATTTCCCCCAGATTTCCCTTTCCAGTAGTGTTTCTCTTACTAATTCATGCATCCCCAGCGCCCCAGGCCATGGTGTGCACTTGCAATATTCTACTGTGCATTAGGTAACAGGGCTCCCAACAGGTCTTGGTTCCCATTATTATGTGTTCGGAGTGCAGATAATAAGGCCTCAATGGAATTCAGTGAATTGAGAGCTCTTTGTGTCAAGATGCAGAAAAGACATTTGCAAGTACGATTACTTGCAATAACTGCTTTCTGCCTTACAGACTCACTTTGTTCTAGAAGGGGTTTAAGCTGAAACCTGGGGGAGTAAAATAGTGGCTAGACTAAAGAGTGACGCAGGAAAAGGTTGTTTAATTAAATTTAATATCTGACTGTTTAGAAAGTTAGTGTTTGAACTGCCTGGGTGGCTGGTACTTCTCAAGTATGCCTTGTGTAACCACAGTTAAAGACACTCCATTATTACTTAATGTTTCAATGAAAACATGAATTCCCAGAAAAGATTACACTTGTAATTTTCACTTCATGTTCTGTTTCACCTCCTTGGATATTTGCATAAGTAGACACGATGCATTAAGCGGCACTTAAAAGATTATGGAGACAGGAATTCAGATACAGAAACGTGGGCATCAAAGGAGTCAGACAGGAAGAATGACAGTTTTGTGGACACAGAGCGGAACCAAAACTCACGAACCTAAAACTGATCTTTACCACATTGAAAATCTTGGCATGGGTAGGTGGATCATGCTGGGGCAAGGTTTCTTGGCAATGTAAAGTGAAAA